TGTGATGTTCCCAAACCGTCTTCTAAAAAAAAAAAAAGAGGACCTGAGAACAGAAGACCTGGGTTCCAGAAGACCTGGGTTCACATCTAGTTTTACTTCTCCCTGGTCACATGACTGTGAGCATATCCTTTCCAATGTCAATTTCTCTTCTATAAATTGTCTGTGTCACAGACTTATTGGGATAGATGCAATAATAGACTTGAAAGACTTTGAAAATTAAAGCTCTAATCAGTTATGACTTTGTCAGTAATAATGTAGAATAATAACTAAAGTATTTGAAATTTATTTTGTTGAAGAATATACTTCTTTTTGGCTAGCGGGCACATGTGCTCACCAGAGAGAAAAAAAAGAGAGAAAAGGGGGAAAAAACACCCCCTAATGGGGCACAGTTATGCCACAATCCCTTCTCCATTTCTTTATCCTGTTGAAATTTGGGGCATCTATGCATATGTGCCTAACAGTGTTTTTCATTCTGCTAGGGCTACTATTTGAGCTATACTGCCAGTCAGTTAGAATCTGGCTTCCTTAACTACCAGGTCATGGGACAGGTCTAAGGAGTATTCTTTATTTGAGGGGAAAAACAAAAACAAAAACCAACTTCATTCCCTTTTCCTAATTGTATTTCTGTGTTCTTTTAATGGAAATTGATCTGTTTGGATATTGTACCCTGGAGCTACAATCTATAGAAACTAATAGTTGATGCCAGAGTAGATATTATTCGGCCATATTAGACTTTAAAAAACAGTAGTTTCACAGCTTTCAACTTAATATATGGAGGGGACTTTAAAAAGTTCGTGAAAAATGGAATTAAAGTACGAGTTTATTTTGCAAAATTTTGAAATTCATCCATGTTTTTTTTCTCTTATTTATTTAATTAATTTGTTAGAGAGTGCATGCTTTCACTGGAGAGAGAGAGAAAGAAAGAGAGAGAAAATGAGAAAGCAGCCCCTATGGTGGATGACCATGCTGTAATCCCTTCTTCATTTCTTATTTTGGTATTTAGGGCATGCATGTGTACCTGGTGTGTTTTCCAACCTGCCAGTTCTGGGCATGTTTTTCAACTTAGCCTTGTAGTTGGCCTCGTGGGATCCAGCCATCTTAACCACCATGCCACCTGCCAACCCCATAGTTTTATTATAAGATGCATTTTTCCGTGAACTTTATGGAGGCCCCCTTTCCCTCTTGTGTATTTCACAGGTCACAGTTTAAGGTAAGAGTGGAAATAGAACTTGGAGCAAGGGTTATATAACACTGGGAGAAAAGACTATCTTATTGGCGCAGTAGAAAAAGAGGAAGACATTTTGACCAGGGTTTGTGGTGGAGTAAGAAGAGAACATAAGAGAACAAAATAATGAGTTTATTTTAATTTTGAGTTTTTCTTCTTTCCTTTAAATCAAGGGTCAGTGAACTTGTTTCAGAAAGGTCTAAATAGTAAATATTCTATAGGCTTTATGGGCCATAGGCCTGTGTAGCAACTATTAATATTAAACAGCCATTGTAGCATGAAAGCAGCCATACACAATATGTATGAATGAGCATGACTGTGTTCCAATAAAACTTTATTTTGCAGAGTTCAGCTTTGCCTATTAGCAGTGCTTTGCTGACCATAGATTTAAAAATTCAGTTTGCAGAGCCTTTTTTTTTTTTTTTAAGCTCAGGGGAGACAGCTTAGATCAGATCAGACCTCAAGTCTCTATTCCCAGTCTTTCCCTGATACTTTATTACCAATAAAAGTTTATTTACACTTTATTTGACCCACAGGCCCAAACTACGTTCACAGAAAAACTGAAACATTATTTGCCTTTTTTTCACTGTATCAATATTTGCAATGATGGTGTAAAAGTAATGGTGATTTAAACTGCTACACCCTGAATACAAATACAAATACCATGGAACCAAACTGTGCTGGTAGGCATGTTATTCTCTACCATGCATGCTCTCATAGTGGTATTTGTTTTTGTTTTTGAAGCTTATTTCACTTAATATTCTTGGTGAGGCAGTAAAAATTCTTAATGTTACTGTTTTTGACCTCTTATAACACATCTTTTTAGTAATCTGTTCTAAGAAAAGTTCACCTAAGGCAGCTCTACTGTGTGCCAAGGTATGAGATATGATGATTGCGACAGGAAAAAGTACTTGTGCAGTTGTTTGAGTTACAAGCTAAACGGGCCACTTTTTCTTGCAACATCATTTTTACTTGAAAGAATGACTCTAGACTGAATTTTTTTAGACCATTTGGGTATTTAACAGACTTTTTTTCAAAAATGAAGTCTTGTCACTTCAAAGAAGACAATTAGTATTATTGGGATTGACAGATTTTCAGGAGAAAATTAGAATTATAAAAACTGGTATCCACTTCCATGAGTTTGATAGTTTTCAGTACTTAAAAATTTTTCTGATAACGTTGGGGGTAAGATTAATGAGTATGATCTTTTTAAAAAATATTTATTTAATTGTATTTATCATTGTTATTATTTTTTAAAAATTTGGTCAGAGAGCGATAGAGCGAGAGGGAAAGTGAGAAAGTAAGCTGCTAGGTCCAGGACTCAAACCACAGTCAACCATATGGGAGTCTAGTACCTCTACCACCACACTACCTTCTGGCCTCCCTGAGTGTGATTTTTTAATATCCTGTAATTAAATATGGCAACATTTAGAAAGTTTGCATAAACTCATTGAACCAATTTTTTTAAATGACCAATTTGTGAAGTCTCTAAATCATGAATAAATAAAAATCCATTCAAAGTGGGTTTTAATGTAATATAATATAAAAAGTTTACTGATAGTTTTTAAATTCCATATTATAAGAAACTCCATTTGTCAATTTTGATATAAAATCAAAAAAGATTCACAGTTGTCTATACAAAGCTTTTAAAATGTTTCTCCCTTTTATATGTATCCGTAAGAGGAGAAATTTTGATCATATATTTCAACCAAAACAATATCAAAACAGATTAAATGCAGAAGCAGATCTGAGAGTCTAGCTGTCTTCTATTAATCTAGACATTCAAGAGATTTGCAGGGACAGCTTTGTGGCTTAATAGTTAAGGGAACTGAATCCCACATGACTGACCGCAGTTCAAATACCTGCCCTGGCAGCTTGAAAACCACATGCGTGTGTGAGGAGGCCCCAAATCCCAGTAGGATGGAGAATGGAAGTAGAGAGATTGCTGCATAACCATACCCCATAGGGCGATGGTTTCTCCCTTTCTCTCTGGAGGTCACACACATCCTTTGATGGTTAAAATAATAATAATATTTTACAAAAAAAAAGATGATTGCAAAAATCTACAGTCATGTATATTTTTGTTTTGGAGAAAGCTTGTTTTTTTTTCCTAGTTTTGTTTGTTTGTTTGTTTTGAGAGAGATTTTTGCTGCAGGGCTCATGTGCTCAACAGAGAGACAGAAGACAGAAAGCAAGAAATCACCCCCTGAGGGGATGGCCACACCGCAGTCCCTTTTCCCCCATTCTCCTCTTGGGATTTGGGGCACACACACATGCCCAGCGAGAGTTTTCAGCCACCAAGTCTGGACTCAAACTGTGGTCGACTATGTGAGTGTCCAGTGATGTAACCATTATGCCGTCTGCTGGTCCCAAGAGTTTTTGTTGTTGTTGTTGTTTTTAGTTTAGTTTTTTCTTTCATGAATCAGAAGGTAGCACTCCAATAAGGTCTTGATGCTGCAACACACCATAGTCTCAACGAGTTCTCGATCATGGCACACACGTTCCTGTCATACTCAAGGAGGTTTTAGCTGTGAGCTTGAAACCTTCCTGTATAGGTCGGCCTTATAGAGCATCACAATCCACCCCTGGAAAAATAGTTATTTTTGTTAAAATATCTTTTTTTATAAAGGGCTTAATACTGTTATTTTTAAATGAGTTAATATATTTTAAATTTTTCTCAGTTTTAATTTATTTTTAAAGAATTATTTATTTAATTTTATTTATTATTATTATTTATTATTTTTAAAACTTTGCTATAAGGCACATGAACTCACTAGAGAGAGAAAGTGAGAAAACTAGGTCCGGATCTCATACTGTGGTTGACCATGTGAGAGTCAGCGTCTTAATCACCACACAACCTATTGGCCCCATAGTTTTCATATTTTTTTCTTTTTTTCTTTGGAGAAGTTTTTGCTTGCCAGAAAGACAGAGAGAGAGAGACAAAAAGTGAGAAATCACCCCCTGGGGGGATGGCCATGCCACAATCCCTTCCCCTTCATTGTCCTCTCGGGTTCTTAGGCGTGCATGCACACGTGCCTGGCGTGTGTTTAAGCCACCAGGTTCAGGACTCGAAGTGTGGTCAACTACATGGGAGTCCAGCGACGTAGCCATTATGCCATCTGCTGGTCCTCCCACAGTTTTAATTTCTTATATGATAAATATTTGTAGATATAGTACACATAAAAATTCTTTGGGTACTCAGTAATTTTTGCATTTTTTGCCAGAGTAAGTTGCTCACCAGAGAGAGACCAAGAGGGGGTAGAGGGAGAAGATACACAATCTTTTCTCTTCCATTTTCCCATTCTGTCATGATTTTGAGCACTCACACACATGCACCTGGCATGATTTTCCACCACTAGAGCCAAAAATCAAACTACACACTGGGCCATGTTGGATCCAGTTTTCTTAACCTTAGGAAGGAATCCTGAGGCCAAAACATCTGAAAATGTTTGGTCATTTGAAAATTGGGGAACTTTACTTATAGAGTTGTTGGAAGTAAATAAAAAGCCTTTTTCAAATACAGAACTCATTATTGAGTAAGAAATGACCGAATTATCTTTTCCTTACACAACATAACAGCAGATTACTTAAATATAAACGTGGAATAATAATATTCCCTACTTCTTGGGGGTAGTTGTTAGGCTACAGAAATTAAATCGGCACTTAATTATTGCTTAATGATAGATGCTATCATTGTTGTTGTTATTATTATTATTATTATTTTGACTCTTTGGTGACTTTTGAGGTTGAATATTTTTGTTATTCTCCAGCAAGGCTGAATTCACATGTTTTTATGGTATATTACTTTCTCCCCTTTTTTTGCAACAGTACCAGCAGATGTAGCATCACCTGAAAGTGGCAGTAAGTGTAGATGCATTGAATTGCTTCAGTTCTGGGAATGGTGTTGAGTGTTTGCTCTGTCTCCAGGATATGGGACATAGAGTAACTGTGGGGAATTAGCTGGTCTAGGTCTAAAGATGCTTTGAGCTGGGTTTCATTCATTGCTTGGGCTCTAATATTTGACTATTACTTTTTGCATTCTTTCTTGTGAAGCACTTTGCCAAGGTACTTATTTGTAAGGTAATATCTTCAGATTCACAGGTACCTTGCAGACTCTCCAAACTTTGTGTGATCATTTCTGCTGATGCCACTTGAAGGTGCATGAAAACATCTTTTCTAGGGAACCAGCAGCGTAATGGCTATGTCGCTGGACTCCCACGTAGTCGACCGCGGTTCGCGTCCCGGACCCGGTGGCTTAAAACTCACGCCGGGCGCCTGTGTGTGTGTGCCCAAGATCCTGAGAGGAGAATGGAGGAGAAATTATTGAGGCAAGACCATCCCCCCCCGGGGTGTGATTTCTCACTTTCTGTCTCTATGTCTCTCTCTGTCTGTCTGGCAAGCACACATGCCCTATAGTGAAAAACCTCTCCAAAAAAAAAAAATAAACATCTTTTCTAAAACTGGAGTTAAAAGCAACTTACTGTGCTCAGTAAGGACCACTGGCTTTTAGATCCCCCACTTAGTCTTATCTTCTAGAAACTTCAAAAGATTTATTAGGAGAGCAGTCTGGAACATTTTTGTTGTACTTGTTTTCGTAT